CGTGTTTTTTCGTAAAATGAAAGTGCTTTTGAGTACTCTCCCATGTTTATATACACCCCACCGATGTTGTTGTAGGGAGTAGCCAACGAACGATGATTTGGAGGAAGCGTTTTTTCGAAGATTTCAGCTGTTTTTTCGTAAAATGAAAGTGCGTTCGAGTACTCTCCCATGTTGTAATACACCGAAGCGATGTTGTTGTAGGAAGAAGCCAAATCAGAATGATTTGGAGGAAGAATTTTTTGTTTAATTTCAAGTGCTTTTTCGTCATACAAAATAGCCTTCTCATAATCACCTTGCTTATTCTTGACATATCCAAGATTATTATAATAAAGTGCTTTTTCACTCTCATCGGATGTCTGTTCGAGCAGTGTTGTGTACAATTCTTCAGCTTTGTTAAATTGACCTATTTTCACTAGTAGTGGTCCCAATCGTCGCCATCCTGTTTCAGCCAGAGTCTCCTCTCGTATTCGTTCGGTAAGAGTGCGAAGTTGTTCATCATCATCCGAAGTAAGTTGAAGATCCACTTGGTAAAGTGGATTGTTCTTGTCAATTTGTTTAATTTCACCGATACGGAAGACGGTATGCATAGAGAAGAGAATTTCTCCTTCCTCCTGGTAGTGGCTGCCTTCTCCGATGCGGGCGAAAGGAGTCGACGAGACAGAAGGATCAATGGTGATTTCGAAGAGGATGCCGACCGTATTGGTTTTTGCCAAGACACTTTCAGCAAAGAACAGAGAAACTTTTCGATGTTTACTGGTGGATAAAAGGTTGTTAAACGACATTAGTCCACCTTTTGTTTCCAGAAGTTTCTCAAAATCTGAGACCGATAAACCTTGTCCCCGGTAAACCACGAAGGACTCTTCACCATAACTGTTGGTCTGTTTTTGATGTAATTCGTCAATTTGATGATGAAGATCACGGACAAAGAAGCCCATATTGATGATGATGTCGGCTTCCAAGGTACGAAGGGCTCGATTGAGCATTTCGTAGACAAAGGACTCACGAGTGTACCACCAAATGGATGATTGCGGACAATAAGTACGTTCAAACTGATCGATGACCTTCAACATGGAGGTATTATTGATGTAGTGGTGGCGCAAAAATAAGATAAAATCCTTGGTGGATGTTTCATTGTGTTTCATTTCAAGGAGAATTTCCTTGAATATTTGAGTGTACATAAACGAGGCTTCCAGTTGATTGAGGTTTTGGTTGAAAGTCCCTTCATTCACTGCGACAAAGCTAACGGCAATGGAATCCTGATTGCATTGTTTTACGTCCTGTTGAAGACGATCACAGATGGACGCAATTTCTGTATGCACATTCTTTACTTTGATCCACTCTTTGACCCATTGTTCATCG